TGGTGCCACGTCGCCGCCTCTTCTTCAGCTTGGCTGTGGAGCACGCGTGTAAACGACTGACTTCTACGCTTTTTGTACCTAGCCGCATTTAATCAAATTCTGTCCCTAAAAAATAGTGGGGTTTCCCGGCGGAAGCCGGGTTGTTCGGTTGCATGTGGTGCCGAACCTCACCGTGTGTTAAACCCCGGGGTTTCACTCCAGGCCTCTTGTTATAGGTGTGTGTGGAGGGCAGTGCAATGGCTGTCGCGATAAAAGAATGCCTGGAGCTCCAGCTGCTGGAAGTGGAAATGCTCCTTTCAATGTTTCCCAAAAAAGGTGAAATAAATCTGGATGAGGATGCTGTGCCTGCCGTCCAGCGATACCTGAGAAATGCTGATGGAGCTCTGCCCCCACAGCTCGAATATTCAATTGCTCTTGATGTAGGGGAGGCCAAGGTGAGAAATTCCACATAGATGTGTTTGTGTCTTGTTTTCTTTACTCCAGACTCTCTAAAAACAATGCACTGAAAAAAAGGGGGGAAACTCCCCCCTCTAGTTTCTGTTTGCTGTTTCAAAAGTAACAAAAACTTCATGCTTTTAATTCTTATCATAGAATCATCATAGAATGGTTTGGGTTGGAAGGGACCTGCTATGTGCAGGGACACCCTCCACTAGAGTGTGTTGCCCAAAGCCTCATCTTAACTTGATTTGGGCAAGAAAGGCTAATAGAATCACTGATAGGAATAGACAACCGACATCAGCGGCACACGCAGCCTTCATAAAAGCTTAGCTAGGGTTGCACTTAAATGAGGGTTGTTGGTTTACTGGTTTACAAAGAGTTCTGTGTTACAAAGGCAATGCATTCCTCATGGGAATGCATGTGTTGAACTTTATTCTAGGAAAACCGCCCTCTTACTTCTCTCTTCCACCCCTTGCCACGTGTACAAACATTCATTGATCAGAAATTCTTTCCTGTTAGAGTGGTGAGGCACTGGAACAGGTTGCCCAGAGAAGCTGTTGATGCCCCATCCCTGGAAGTGTTCAAGGCTGGATGGGGCTTTGGGCAACCTGGTCTAGTGGAGGGTGTCCCTGCCCATAGCAGGGGAGTTGGAACTCGATGATCCTTGAGGTCCCTTCCAACCCAAACCATTCTATGATTCTATTTGAAATCCACTAATGTAAAAATAGCCCCAAATGGTGGAATACTATTAAGAAGAGTCACACAAATGCTAAAACAAAACCAGCCTGTGAGCTGCAATACAAAACCCCAAACTCAGAGTATAAGGAGTTCCAGTAGTTTATCCAATTGAAGAAAAGGTTACGTACGACAACTAAGTGATGTAAACACTTGCATATAGAATGTAACCATTAGTGTAGGTCTGACTAACATAATAATGCAATGACTGGAAATTGAAAGCGGACAAACTCAACAAAGAAATAAATGTATTTTCTAGGAATAAGGATAATTAACCATTAGAACAATTTACTGGGTAACGAGGTGGCCTTGTGATTATGTGGAAACTCATCTAGAGGCTTGGGTATAATTTCTAAAATGCACTCCTTCATCAGCCTTCAGAGAGAAGCTTTAGGAACTGCGTAGGGAGGGCTTCTGCAGGAAGAATTCTTTTCCATGGCAGATTGTCAAGGAACTTGGAAAGATAATTAGTCATTTCATGACTCACTTCTCTCAGCAGGACTAGTAATTTGATTGCATACTGTAGTGAAAGTCCCCTAATGGTATACCAGAGCCTCAAGCACTGAGGACACATGAATCCTCTCCTGCTCTTGGACCAAAGGCAGGGTTCAGTTTCCAAAGAACTGAGGTGCTCTATTTTAAGATACTGTAGGAATAATTGAGAGAAAGGCAACAGCCTGCAGTTTGTAGATCATCAGGCAAGATAATTTAGAGGTTCCCCTGGCCTAAAATGCACGTAAATCTTTTTATCCCCTATAATCCTGAGAAAGCTTCCTCTGTTAGGGTGAATACTTGCTTAAGATAATAATAATGATAATGCCTCTATATACAATACGTACAATCATAAACACTGTTTTGTTTAACTCTTGGCCTTGTTTTCCTGGGACCGATCCAGCAGCTGGGCTGAGTTCATTGATGAAATGTGCGTTTGGTAAGGGACAAGATTCTCAAAAGCCACTTGCCCCTTGACTCTGACAGACTGGTAGTTTATTGCTGTAGCAACACTGGGCATGTACAGAGAACATGCAATAGAAATATTCCTAGAGGGTAATTGTGTACCTTCCTTGCAATCTTAAATACATCTCCTCATAATCTGCTTTTGACAGGGAAGAAGAGTCTAGCATGTCTTTCAGTAGCCGCAGAATTCATTTTCTTTGTGTGTGTGTGTGTTCTGTTTTCAAGGTAAAAGTGGAATTGCAGGTACTGCTGCCTCATATGTATCCTCACGTAGCTCCTCAGCTTTTTGCAAGATCAAATGCACTGCACAGACAGCAACAGTTGCAGCTCAACACCGGTCTTGCTTCTCACATCAGCTCCTTGGATTCAAGTGAACTGCGTATATGTGAAGCTGTGCAATGGGTGAAAGACAACAGCCTGACTTACCTGGAAAACACTAAGATCTCTTCTGAAAGTGCTCCGAAAGAAGTCGTCGGTAAAGAAACGTTGCATCGCATGTGGATCTACAGCCATCATATATATAGGCAGGAATTAAGGAAAAAGATTTTTGACTGTGCAAAGAACTTAAATCTGACTGGCTTCTGCCTAACAGGGAAACCTGGTGTCATCTGTGTGGAGGGACTCAGAGAAAACTGTGAAGAGTTCTGGCGTGTTATTAGGTATCCCAACTGGAAACATATTTCATGCAAGCATGTGGAGAATATAGAAACGGAGGGAAGCATCGATAATCTTCGTCTCTTTCCTGCTTTTGAAGACCTACAGTTTCAGGCACATGGTGATTATGGCCTGAGGAATGACTACCACATGGATCTTGGCCAGTTCCTAGAATTCCTGAAACAACATCAAAGTGGAAATATTTTTCAGATTTTATTTGGTGTTGAGGGTAAACTTTCAGACAAATAAGAGAAACTATGTAAGGGGTTCTAATTTTGGACAGCAAGAGATGATTCCAACATTGAAATGTTGTGCCTTACAGCTGTGAAAAGGGAAACTGTTTGACATACATACGAGAAGAATGGTTCGAGTAGTTAATCTTAGTTTCCGTTCTGAATTGCCACATATTTTTGAGAGGTGTTTACTTATTGTCTGACACCCTATACAATTATATTGCTAATACCATCATTTTCACAATCCTCTTCCTATCATCTCATTATGGTTATATCAATAGTAATTTTTCAGCTGCTCAACTCATGGCATTTTATATTTACATTGTTAGGCCAAGCACCTTGGAAGTGAAAATGTGTAAGATGAGACAAAGTTTAGTGTTTCCTCATCTTTCCCCCTACATTACATAAGGAAATACATGTAAAATACAGAAAAATGAAAAAAGCCTATATATTGTATATTAAATAAAAATACGTACAACTTTACCAAACTTTTCTATGTCAAATTAGTACTGAGAGACAATTTTCCAGCAGCTTATAACAGGAAATGATATTAATGGCTCATTAGGCAGCACTTGCCTACAGGGTAGTGTGCTGAGTGTGTATTTAGATAGTGCTTTGCAATTCAGTTTTCCAATTTATAATGGATTATCCTATCTAAATGTCGTCAATATAATACGTAGATGAAGAATGCTACTGAAAAGTCCCCAGTAGCTGTGCCTTCAAGAACCACTGGTTTACCGTGTTCCGCTTTGTCATCGAGCACCATTGTACGAAAACTGGTACTGAGCAATAAAAGCAGACTCACTGTTGAGCCATAGAAGTTTGGCTGTTCCAGTATAAAAAACAGGCCGTTCCAACAGCAGCTATTTAAAGACTGTGTTTCAGTACACTTAGCTGGTGACTACAAAACCAACAGGTATTACCTTATTTCAAATAAAACACAAGGAAGTGTTTTAATACTTTTGTCATAATAGCAATATATTGAAATACAGAGGATGGCAGTATTTCGGGTTGCTCAGAATGATGATTAATGTACATTCCTTCACTGTGGCAAGTACATTGTTTGTATGATCGTAACTTTGGCCAAAAGCACAGTAAGGCCAAAAGTGTTTACAGGTTCCCATTATGCAATGAAGCAGAAAGTGCCGCTCCTCTTTGGGAATTCAGGACCTGCAGTCTGCAGTTGTGGCAGAGCTCAGGGGCTGGGCAAATAAAGTTAATTTTTGGTTTTGTAGAGATAATCTCTATAGCATGATAGTAGAAAAGAATGATCAAGTACACTTTGTTTCCAGAACTGTCCAGAAAGTGTTTTATATTTTTCTTGGAGTGGCAATTCTGTAACAACTAATAATTCTTTGGGGTTTTTTGGTTTTGTTTTTTGTTTGGTTTTTTTTTTAGACCATTGATGTATGAGCACAGGTTCCACACCATCATGACTCAGAAACAATAAAACCATCTGCATTCAGTGCTGTTGGAAAGTTGCCAAATGATAATGTTTTCCTTTAAAGTAGCAAAACAAACTGGTTTAGAAATGGGCCTTATGCATGAGATTTCAACCCGAAGGAAATGGGAGAGGCAACATGGCATAGGTCAGAAAGTCCGTGCAGGAGGATGGTCAAAAAATTTGGAGTTAGTGCTGTGTAAAGCTTTATTCTGAGCAGAAGATTTGTTCATTTTTTTTTCTAAAGGAGAAAAAAACACTGATAGTACAATCCAATCATGTGTCCTCCTAAGGAAAAACACAGACTCATGACTTTTAATTCTGGAAATGCTAATTATGAATCCAGAATAATGCAGGTCACAACGAGTGTCCCTGGATGCTTCCGGTCAAGTTTGCAGAGGCAATCACTTTTCTTTTCTTTTCTTTTCTTTTCTTTTTTTTTTCAGAAGAATAATGGTCATGGGCTGGTTTTGCTAACTGGTTGACAGATGAGAAAGGGTAAAAAAAAGTACGATCTCCTGAGTTGAAATTAGTGTGTAGATGAACATACTCAGCATGCTGAATTATCACTGAAGTTATAAAAGCTATTTTAAAGACCATACTGAAGAAACTGAGCTAACCAGATCATTCAAATAGTAGTAAGTGAGAGAAATATTCAGTGAATATACATTAATAGAACATGTCTGTTTCCCCCCATCATAACGATATACTCTTCCCCCATAAAAATTATTCCTCTAGTAGACCTCAGCTGGGTGATTTAGAAGTTTGTTACAAAGAATAATACTTTATCACATATGACATATGTTAAAAATACATATTGGCCTCAAATACTACAGGAATTCATTAGGTTTAATAGACAAAAACCTACCACTAGCCAGATGACTGATGGCTGTAAGAAAATATGTAGTCAAAAAAGAAGCCCATTCATAAGAATTTGATACTCCCTTTTTGTCAAGAACATGGCGTCCAAGCACTTGGGCCAAACAGTTGCAGCCTATCAGAACAGCAGTTCTCTATCTTGCTGGGGGACTGAAACCTTTGATCATTTACAGGACTTTAGCTTAGCTAAAAGTCATGTTAAAACATTCTAAGTAGGTGTGAACAAAAGGTTCTGCAGGTTCAATTCTTGTTAGAAAATCTTCATTACTCCATGTGGGAACAACCAATAAGGCTTTTCTTTGGAGGAAAATACTCTAACCTTACTGTTCTTCTTTAAAGTTTTGGTGTTTATTTTTTAAATAATAGCTTGACAATATATGCAAATTACATTGTGACCGTAATGGATTAAACAGTCATCATATGCATGTCTTAATTTTCCATGGTACCATTTGTCTGCTTAAGTTCTCATCAACATTTGTGACAAAACTCTGAACTCAAGACACAACCACTTACTTCGATAACAAAAAGATCTGTCAAACTCTAGTGTAGGATATCTCTATTAAAATATCAAAATAACCAACACAAATATATTTCTCAGATTAATTTTTATTTTCTGATGTATAATTAATATGATTTCTTGATTGGAGTTTCTAAACAAGTATTACAATTTAGAAAAAGTTTTCTGCATCTTAAAAAATTAGCTATTCTTAGGCTTCCTAGGCAGAAATGTTCTGAATATTTTAATGCTTTTTATCTGCTTCTAGTTTGTTCATTCTTCATTAAATATTTACAGTTTCACTTTCATGGCTTCTTCAGGCCAGGTGTAGGAGTCAGCCACAAAGCTGTTATAATCGGTACTGTAAACCTGAGAGCGGATGAAGGCTTCTAGGTCCTTGGGCTGAGGATAGGTGGAGGCAGTGTTATTCCTATAGGCTTCTTCTGCGATCTAGAAAGATGCATTAAAATCTTAATTAGTGCTGATAAACTACCTGAGTACATTTAACAGGATTTAAAAGTAGGAAGTATTTCAAAATCAAGGTAAGACTTCGTCTTCTCCGGTACCTATATTCACACTGGATATGGGATAGTATACAGGATGAAGTTTACATTTAAGTGAGTCTGACTCTTGCTAGTTTTGAAGAGGAGTGTGCGTCTTTGCCGTTACAAATACAGTGCTCCTCCTCATCCAGTAATGTCTTAGCTTTTATTGTGCAGCAGTGGGTAAAATATTCCACAAACCCCAAGCACTGAGCTACAATTTCTGCTTTTCCATCATCAGGTTACCCTGGTTTACCATCTTCTCCAAAGCACTGTAAGAAAAGGGTGATTTGTTCAAAGCCTCCATGCTCCCTGCATATTAGAGAAAATTATTATTTGCCATAGTTAGAGATAATACGTTTCTCAAAAGTAAACTCACAAGAAAAAATTAGTCCTGCACAGTGCATAGGTTTAATTCTAGAGTTGATTGGGGGAAATAATACAAATATTTGCTTGCTTTTTCCCCACCCAGACCATACCTAAGTGAATCAATTATGCATCACAAGTATAGGTGCAACAAAAATGAAGTTTAGAAGGGGTTGGAGCCCACTCGACACATCAAAGTAGCCTCTCACGTCTGAAGAACACCTACTTGAGAAATGCGTATCTTTAGAGTGGACATTCATCTATGAAACAAAAGTTTGACAACCTGGTTTTAGGCGACAGCACTCTTTGGAAAGACCTGCTTCAAACTGCATTTGGCAAACAGCAAACGCGCCTCCTTTGAATAAAAGGCAGACGGTCTCCATCCTGCTCTCCGTAGCGTGCTCTTTAAAACAGCAATGTTCTCGCTTGGTGGGAAGCTGAGACCCCAAGCGACTGTACGCAGACTTCCTTTCTAGGATTAATCTGAAGGCCAACCTGATTTGACTGAGAAGCACTTTGGGTGTCTATGTAAGAGTTTATCTTCAGGGCTGTGCGCATGATTATCACGGATGAATAAGGTCTGAATTTATAACCCGCGTTTGGTATTCAAAAAAACTTTGAGAGTATTCCTCCCCTGGAAAAGGTAGAAGCCATCGCTAAACCTCTTTTGGGCTATATGAGCCAGAATAGATATGTGCAGGAATAAAGTTTCAACAGAGATCAGGCAGAAAGAATCTTTTGGTAACATCTTCCTTTTTTTGTATTTTATATAACGTGCAAGTAGAGGAGGAATTTCTATCACTGTGTTCCTGCCAAACACACAGGCAGTCTGATTTCGCCTGAGGAATCTAGGTAACATTTTGACATCTACAGAACAGAGTTATTGCTTGCCTAAGATGACGTGAACTGTGAGAAGGATTTTTTTTAAAATATACAGAATGAGTGAAGCTAGGGGAACGGTTTCATGCATGAGGGCTCCTTGTTATTCTTTCAAAAGAATATGCAATAAGTGGAGTTATTCACAGTAAGGTGAACAAGAGAGAAAACAATAATTGGAGCAAAAAAGGCCATTGAAGACCAGCAAAATGCTGGAAAAAACCTCCAACCTAAAAAAAAGAAGGAGGGAGGGCCTGGGATAAATACATTATTTGAAAGCTTCCTCTTCTTCTCTCCAGGATAGCCAAATTTCTTGGGAAACTGCGGGTTTGGGTCAGTTACTGAAAGTCCATCTGCACCAACTTTGTATATGCCAGTAAAAACCAACCAACCGAACAACCCCTGGCCTAAACCCGAGCCATAAAGCAAAAGCATCCCCTGCAGTTAGTTGTTTTGGTAGGCCAGAGTAAGGTGGGAACGAAAGGGAATAGTGCCCGGACAAAGGGTGACAGTTACTCTTCTGACAGGCAACTGATAATCATGAAGGGCCAAAAGCCTGGGGACCTGCTCCTAACTGGTGGACAGTACAGCCTGGGCTCTACAGACATAAACCCTTGCTATAGTTCCACATCTTTCCTTGTATTTGGATTATGTTTACATTTATGAATTTAAATTTAATTTTGAAACTGCTACTTGTCCAAGATTGATTGATGTAAACCCACTTCAACTTGTGTGAAAGTGGGTTAGTTGATCAAATCAAATGCTCAATTACGTAGAGAGCGTGGGAAAGCCACAAAAGACTGAAATGACTTACCCTCACAGCAATTTTCAGCGACACGTGCTGAATAGTGACTAATGGAGGGTACAGACGACCTTCCTGTAAATTCTCCTCTGACACTTCTTGAGCTATTACCTAGAAATAAAGCAGACATGTTTAACTTGAAATGCAGATGAAGCTGTAGCAATGCATTAGACAGTAATCCAGTCGTAAGCAAAGAAATAGTTCCGCTTTGGCAAATCACGCAGATACTGCTTAATCCACCTAAGCAGTGTTTTTTACAACCAGCCTTATCATTAGGAGTAGCTACACAAGAGGTGGAAATTTAGGGAGTTATGCCCTTTTCTCATTCAGACAATAAGACACACACAAATTAGCAAATAGTTCACTGTGAGATATAAATTCCAGCCATCAATTGTAGCTGGGTCAAAGACTTTCAAAATTAAAGAAGCACCTGTTATTCTGACCACTGTCAAGTCATCCTGTGCAGAGAACAGAACTGAAACCCTTAAGTGTAAAATGCTTTGAGTAAAATTACTGGTGGCTGAGCAGGTTGGTTGTGTGTCCAGCTCAAACATCTAGTCTGTATGAGATCAATCACAGAACAAAGTAAAATAAAAGTAAGATTATCCAGGGTCTTTTAAAGCCCTGCTGGTCACTGCAGTCAGATTTAGAAATAGAAGGTCTAATGCTAAATTCTGGCTTGCTGGGACAGAAAAACAGTGCTGCTAGAAAAGAGCAGTTGCTGGTCTGTTCACCCCACTCGAAGGCTGCAGTGGTCTGTCATCTCAACCATACCAAGTAACCAAGGAAATTGGTTTGCTCTTTGCTTGATTTTTCACCAGACTGACCAGGGGAAACAAGGAACGATACAGAAGTTCTGATGCTCATCAGAATGGAGCATCTCCTCCACTGCCTGTACATTCTTGCTTGGTCTTCCTAGCGAGATTGGAAATGTTTTGTTGTCATCTCCAGCAATGAACAGATCGGGAAAGCATAGCAAGCTGGAGAAGTTGGTTTTTACTGTTTACTCATTGGCCGTATGAAAAACCTTCTATTACCATGAGGTAAGAAGACATTCTCCGCAGAGTAAGGAGAAACACTGCTGGCTCTGTCTGCTTACGGGCTTACTTAATGAATTTCCTCTAGTTGTCCAACAGACACTTTTTAAGAAGCAAAGGCTCCTGGGGCTGCCTTTGGGTCTGATGATATTTTTGCTATCATTAGCTAAAATTTGCTGGTCATTTGAGGATCTGAAAGAGAAAATAGCCTTTCAGGGTGATCCAGATTGGGATTTGCTGAGCCTGAGAATCAGCTGATGCCAGTTCGCCCACCTGTTTTCTACTTTGCAATCTCTTCGGTGGACTTGAAGGTTTCATTTCTTTAGCTGCCCACCTTTGTACCTTCTAGGGAGCTGCTAGTTAGAACCAAATCTAAATATCTTCAAAGCAAACTAAGCATATATTAAAAATGGTCTGAATTTATGCAGTTTTTGATAGCTACCTTCACTAACATTCTCTACTACAATTCTGAAAACAAATTATTAAAAAACATTAAGAGAGATTTGCATCAGCAGAATCCAAATGTCAAATTTCTCTGTCTTGCTTTGGGACAGAAAGGAAACGACTATGGGGAGGGGATGTCACTTGCCCTTGGAACAGCCAGGAACACGTAACAGTCACAAGGAAAGGAGGTTCTCTGTAGAGCGCAAGCTCATACTTCTTAAATCTGTTACAGTTTATAAGCGGTTTCTGTTGATATCTAGTACATTAGGCTTGCTCCTGGAGTGTATCCTTCCAGTTAGTTTCATCCAAAAGTCCCCCTCTCCTCCCAAGACCATGTCACACTGTGGACCAAAATGGAATTTGCAGGGACACCAGGGAGATGTGTTCCATAAGACCATTCTGATGCAAAATAGAAGAGTAACGTAGAGGCACCCTTAGTCTTCCCTTCAGGAGAAATGATACATTTTTGTGCAATTGCAGCTTAGATAACAAAAGGTTAGGACCAAATCACTGACAGATCCAGGAGTGTGGGGAAGCCAGTGCGTGGTGTGACCTGTAGTAGTACTCCATGGATGGAAGGAAAACTCTGGTCTGGATAGCATCTGGTGGAGCCATGTGTGACCTATCAAGAGGTTCCGAAAACACCAGGGAAGTCCAGGAAGCACTGTGAAATGAAACTGAGAAATGGCCCAAAGAGAATCAAGAAGTGCACTTTCGGGAGAACGTAATAGGAAGACACTTGAAACAGAGTACAAACTGCTTGCAACAGTTCCTGTTGCATGTGGGAAATAGGACCTTGTGTACCTTGCTTGCAAACAACTAGGATGGTGTCAGAAGAGATGCCTGCCTATCATCAATTCATCCTTTCTGGCAGAAGTAGGTAAATAGTTTGAATTAAAAAGCAAACACTGAACTGTATTTGCTGTTTCTCTTTGAACTCCAGGTTCAAAGAGAAACAACATTCTCTTTTGCAAACTACCCAGCGTGCTGGTAGGTGTAGTAAGTTTTTCCATTTGGAGTGGAAATGCTAACAAGAGCAACAAGAGATTATACTCTTCTTGAGTATAACGAGCAAAGAAAAAAATATTTGTTTGCATTTTAGTCTGATATTGAGAAGTACAGCAGAGATTAAAACCCACTAGGGGGAGCTAAGGTAACGTAAAATCTAGTTTTTACTTTCCATACTAGCAACTGGGTTATTAAACAATGATACACAGCCCTTGGATAAAACAAGACATGCATCTGAATGTGTAAAGAGGAGCTTACAACATGAGATTTCTGCTGTCAACAGTTTAATGGGGCTCTGCAGGAAAGATGAAGTCTGAAGAAATCAACAGCAAGTTGCTGTTAGTGTAATGCATCACTCAAAAAAAAAGGTTCAGGAGTAGAGTACTTTTTTGTGATGGGATTGATAGAAAGCAAGCCACAAAACATTTGGGCAGTGCTCAAAGTGGGAGAGATAGCAAGCTTAACTACATAGATGCCATGCTACTCCTTCTGACATACTCCAGTAACAGCATTAAACACTACACAAAAACAAAGAAACAAGCATTTTCAAAGAGAATGACACGTTCTTCATGTGGTCTCCTTGAGAACATCAATTCAGTGGCAGGGGAAAAAATGATGAATCAACATTTGGAATTATTAAGAAAATAAGAGACGACCCAGGAAATGTAATTATACCAGCGTACAAATCCCCAATGTAACACCGCTTTGAACAGTTTGCAGTTTTGCTCCACCTACTTCAAACAAGAATGAGATAGAATCATGAGGGGTATAAAGAATAAGTGTCATCAAAAGGTTATTTTTTGTACAGGGAGACAAAAAATAATAAAATAGACCTGAGAGAAAAAAAAAAAGAGAAGACTGAATACAAAGGACAACTGAAGGTGAACATTTCTCATGGCACTATAGGGAACCCGAAGCATCAGACAGCAGGAAACCGTAAGAGGAGAGTTTCTTTTTCCACAGAACTCATAATTAAATTGTGACACTAACTGCCAAAAGATGTTCAAATGTATAAACATGTTTAAAACGTCACTAGGCTCATTTATGAAAGAGAAATCCATACAGGGATAAAACTTCCAGCGCAGGAAGGCCATGTAGTGCAGGCTGCCAGAGCCTCAGAAGCCATTTCAGCAGAAGGATCACTCTGTATTTTCCCCTTATTTATCCTCTTTTCCTCAGCTTCTGCTACTGATTACTTTCACAGGAAGATACTGAGCTGTTTGCATCTTAGGTCCAACCCAGTATGGCTATTTTCATGCTTTAAATTTCAATTCATTCAAGTTTTTAATAGAGAATTTAGCTAAGCCTTATTGCAGAAGCTAAATGAAAGGCAGCCGAGACAGGACAAATGGCATAAAGCAAGTGGGGGCATCTTGGCTTCTGGTGGATGTATTCTCTATAATGAAAGAATTTAACAGGATTATTTCTGGAGTAACTTAACTGTAGGTCACACATGCTGAGAATATTTCATTAGTTCATAATTCTCTGTCCCTTTCATGGTGTTTGATAGGACTTAGAAGAATAGGTAATGTTCCTTGTCATCACAGAGCAATTGCCTGCAATTAAGAGGTATTACAGCTTACAGTACCTTAGATTTATCATCCAAAATCAAAGTTACACTCTATTTTACTTGTCAGAAAGAAAAGAACACTGAAAGTAGAATTTGTTGTTGTTACAATAAGCCATGTGTGACTTTTACCAGATTTAACGGGAGAGGTGGCAAAACAAGAAGACAGGAGGTGCAGGCACGCAGCCTGGACTGCTATTTTTTATACTTTCCTTTTTTCAGGTAAGCTACTGCTACAGTCTGAGAAGGTCCCTCGATCTAAAATGCATGGGGTTTGGTGTTTTAAATTTTGCAGCATCTTGGGTGCTTCCATTTCAAAGGGAGAATACTAACCACTATTCTAAAACCCACATGAAACTGTTTTGATTTTATCCTTCTGTTAAAAAAAGCCAAGAAAACAAACAAAAAGTACTTTTGCCTTTGCTTTGTACTGTAATTTCAGGTAAAGGCCAATGCAGCCCTCCCAGCCTTCACACCCCTGACACCTCTTCTGGCAAAGACTCCTCCGAAATCCAGACGTGACTGCTCTCAACTCCAGCCGTATGCCCAGTAGCTATCCATTGATCTTGCCACCAACAGAGACCTTCTATGGAAGAAAAAATCCCACATTTTTACATGTCAAACTTTTCTAGGGATTTTACTAGAGGAAAGCAATTGTGTAGCAAAACCTTCACCAAAAAGGAAGAGTCAGGAGAGAACCTCTTCCTCAAGAAAGAATTTAAAAGCTTCCTCGTGATTTCTGATACCATTTTACTTCCTTGTTACGTTTCTTTGTTCAGTTAAATTTCTTTGTTTAGAACAGATTTTTTTCTGACTTTAAGTAGACTGCTGCTTGAAACACAGTTCAATCCACATACGTGCCACCTTTCATCCATCAGCACTCTATATATAGGAACCATTTCACCCAAACCAAAATAAAGCAACTTCTAGAATGAAATAAGACAACTGTTTAACACAGCAGTTTAGACCAGCAAGCGAGGATCGCCGTATCCAACTGAAATTACAGGGAAAGATTTAAAGGGAGGATATAATTATCCAAAGACTTATGAGATGGATCATTGCCCTCCTAAGATGGTTAAAGCCAGTGGAGACAGTCTGGGCTTTTTACTAATTTTAAAGATGGAAATTGTGAATATCTTTCTTATAGAGGGCAAGCTGCTGGCAAACTTTTTTAAAGATGCCAGAGTACACACCTTAAAAAATAACCTTCGGAAATCCAGCAAGGGCAGTGTGCAAGTGCTCATGCTTTAAGAAAGCTTCCTATCGCATACTGCCGGTCATAGGATCACGTTGCCTATCAGTTGCCTCCGAGTGATAGTAAAGGGCCATTTTCTTCCCTTTAATCCATGAAGAGGACGCAAGGAGCAAGAATCCTGGAATGCAATATCCCTTAGAGAAGCTGCAAGAGTTGAGTCAGGCATACTCACTTCTGCTAATTGGGGCAACATTTTTTTCTTCTCTGTTTTTATGCTACCGTTCCATTAAAGTTGCTAATTACATTGCTTTGAGGCTTCCTCTGTGTGCAACCTATGCTACTCATGTATTTCCAAGGTTGCTTGCACAGCTTCTTTGAAGATTAGGACACTGCACTTTCATGAAGTTCTGTGGATTGTAATTTATATGAACTGCGTTGAGTAGAAATTACCACTGAAGTGCGTCTAGGTTAATTAGAGTTAACTTGGTAAACTGAAGCTAGTCCTCCTCCTTACTTCCATACCCATTAAAAAAAAAATCCAAAAAGCATCAAGCTTGCAATGATTTTGCACGGACGTGGTCAGACCATCGTGCACTGCTTAGGGCTCTCTAATCAGTCTGTACTGAGCCTAGGCTCTCTCTGAGCAGGATGAGCTTGGAAGCATATTCCTGGGAGCAGAGTAGCCAGGACCTTGAGCATCACTGGATATCACATCGCTCAGGAGAAGGAAGCTGAGATCTCATTACATTGATCTTGGTGCCAGCCGAGAGCAGAACCAACAGAGGCAATGAAAGAGACAGGAACTCTAGGACAGGGCAGGAAGGGGGTGAAAGGGTCAGCGGAAGGAGTGGTAATGGTGCTATGACGCTATAGTGGATGAGGAGCAAAGATGCTGGACCCAGAAAAGCACAGAAAGTTACAGTTCTCTTAAGTGAGAAACAGCTACAGAACAATTTCCTTATTGTTTTGTAAAAAAAAAAAATAAATTAAAAATTCTGTTAAGCATTTGATTTCAACCACTGCTGGTAATTTATTTTTTTTGAATAAGGGATGCTAAAATAATAAAGGCCAGACTCTTCTCCCATATGTGTTGAAGATACAATCCTGTGCATTTATGATGTCCTGTTATAAGACAGTGGATGTGAGACTTTGAACAATCACTGGAAGTAGGTGGTGAATGACTCTTAGAACCAAAAGTGCTCCCTGTTCATCTCTTGCCCACTGAGTGGAGATAAAGGAGAGATCACATGTTGGATAACATCAGAACAAAGATCATAAAAAACTGCCTGAAGAAAGAAAAGAACAGATGCAGAAAAGGGTAAGAAAGAAAATGGGAAGGATAACATGGTAATTGTGTCAAACTGTGGTGCGAGGAACCACAAGGCAATTGAACACTTTCACCAGCTGGTGACAATGGAGGTCCACAAAAAATTATGCCAACAGCTCTACTCAAAAATAGCAAAAAGCTAAAAAGCTAAAAGAAATTCAGATTATTTTTTTTGCAGGCAAAACACCCCCAAAAGTCACCCCAAAGCTACCAACATCAAAATATAGTTCCTTTCAATCTAAAACCTATGTGCACGTGTACGCAAACCATACATATGTGCATTCACCTGTGATAGTATAGTACTGAAGTCTTTCTCTTTTCTCCTTGCCAACAGAAGGTGAAGTTTATGTCAGATGGCCTTTGGACCAAGTATTAACTTCTTAAAAATAACTTGTTCAAATAGAATGTATAAAAAACCAACATACCTTGCAAATAAAGACCTTCCACAGAAAGCACTATTTTTTTTTTTAATTTAAAAGATAGCATTTAACTATTTCTGTTTAATTGTTCATTATTACCAAGTTACTAAATTAAGGAATTTAAATAATTTTTAACACAATACCTCAGCAGTTGTAAGGAACACATCCTCACCAATATGTTTCAGTCCACATGAAATAACGCCAAGGGCAACTCCTGGGAACACATAGGAATTGTTACCCTGTCCAGGATAGAGAGTTTGTCCGCTTGGAAGAGTGACAGGATCGAAAGGACTTCCACTGGCAAAAATGCCGCGTCCCTAAATTGTCACAAGAAAGCCAAAGAAAGCAGGTTAGTTGTGAGGATGCTGTTGAAGTATTTCACACACCCCTTGAAATACCTACCACTGTGGAAGCTGGGTTGCATCTATTTAATATCTCTTCTGAGAGGGTATTAGAGCTATTTAACTGACTATATCTCAAGAGCATCAGGATGCTGATCCTATGGATGACTGGCAATTCTCTGTGACTATCTGATGTCAGAGAGTAACAGCTGCCTTATTCAGGTAAGAGCTATCAGCACAATTTAGAGGAGGTGAAAGTGAAAGCCAGCACTCGTTATTCGCTTTGTGTGTCCATGCCAGAAGAAGAGTACATGGGAAGAAGGTATACGCCTGGAGCTGTAAAACTCAAAGTGGTAACAATGGGTGATGCTGCTGGATTTGTTCCCCAACAGCAGATCATCCACAAAAATGACACTAAGGCCACAAAATGTTGCACTTTTGGATGTGGCAATTTCTGAGGAGCTGTGGGGACAGGCAGAGCTCTCTGTTCCTCCCAATCTTCCCTCTTCAGGCCACTACACCCGCTCCACAGCTCAACAGCTCTGTCCCAGGAACGTCGTACCACGGTGCAACCTATAGCACAAGTTGGTGATGGGATCTCTTCTTCTGGGACCCTGTGGCTCCCCTCTCTGTAATATTCTGAGCAGGGTGAGGGGACCAGCTCAGGCACTGGCATGTGACCATCCAATACTGATAAACCACAAGGATGTTTCCCAGCAGGTTTTTGGGTAGTGCCAAGTAGCGCTGTTGCCACCAGTGCCCAGGCACCATGCACAGACTGGTCCCAGCAGGCAGTATGGAAGAGCCAGCCTGTTCTGGGGAATTAGAGAATTTAGCTCTGCAGACACAAGTTACACCATATCACATGTCCTGAGGACAAGAGAACTGGCTGTAATTCATTTTATGTCATAGTTCCCATGGGACCTCTAAATCTCTTCCCAGGACACAGGCCCAGGCGTAGCTCCATGCTGGCACACAGCACACGAGGCAGCTGCGGGCAGGAACAGAAACCTGTGGGTGGCCCAGACGTGGCGACAGGGCTCATGCTGCTGACGGCTCAACGTTAGCTAAGGGGAACATTAGCCCTGGTGTCACTCAGTAGCAAGCACGTTCAGAGGTGTGATACCACTGGAGTACCAAGAGATGGGCTGCAAGGGAGCTGCGAGTCCGATGGAGTCTCACTGCTCCCCTGGGATGAGGAACACCCTGATGGGGGCAGATGCCGGCTCCATCAAGTGCCGCTCAAGGGTGGCAGAAGAGGCACCTCAGAGGTGACTCAGCTGCAGCGCTGCTATCCAGGTTCTCCCCAGATCATTCCAAATACACAGGGAGAGAGTAGTAATTTGTAGAGCAGGCAACGCAGTTTTGGACTAATGAGGGGAGTGACATTGCACAGGCTCTACCTCCGCAGCCCAAAGGCCCCTGGCTCTGTCCTTGCTAGGAAGGGAGCACCCTCAAATTTAAGCAGTAAATTTAGGTGTGGAAGAAAAGCCAGCCTTTATTTATGCTAGCACTGCTGAAGTGATAAATGTCACTGTTAAATACTTCAGAGGCGCTTTGTATCAGAAATATCTATGCCTATTTTAGAGAACTGAAAACGTGCATTTTAAAATATGCCACTGTTGCTATTCAGCTCTTCAGAAGAATATTCTGTTTGGTTTGGTGTCATGCAGTATTATCATGGCCAGCTTATTATACGTTTTGGTGACAGATCAAATACTTCAGCGTGTCTTTTGCTCTGCCTACCAGATGTCATTACCCACTATAACCAACCCTTCGTGTAGGCTGCGTCCCTGGCTCCTGCATCGTGCTGTAATTGTGTACTGTGCGGTGGGGAACGGGCATGCTAAATTTGTCTTTTAAACACTGTCAAACTGTCATTCAAACTGCCCTGTATTTGACAAGAAATCCAAACACAATGCACTATGAAACACAAACAGTCAAGTACTCATACATTTCAAATTCTAGACTGAATTACAGGATAACATGTTTCTTAGCACTTCTATAACACAATAATAAATAAGCAAGCACATTTCTCTTAATTTTCACCTATGTTTCCATAATGGAAATCTTTGTAAAAGGATTCAATTACCCCAGTTCTTAATAAAGAATTAATTTAAAGATTCTATTTCATGCAGTGAGGTATTTTCTTACCCTAAAGAGTATTTATAAAATCTCAAATGAAAAGCATGCCACTGCGTGTATACATTACACAAAGTGGTACAGTTCAAAAACAGGCATAAGGCTTTAATGATTGACAGTTACTGATGCTTCGCTTATAATAAAGACCCTGAGTCTTGCCTGACACCAGTAAAAGCTATTAAATGTGTTTATGAGGGTGCAAGCATGTATTGACTTCAGTGAAATTGTCTTGATAAAATCTGAAAAATGGGTTACTTAATTTAACTCATTTTACTCACACAGAGACATGATTAGTACTTGCTACTCCACCCCCTGTCTTCCTCCCATTTTAAATTTAATTTCAGATTTACTTTCCACTGCGTATACTAGAGAGATATTAATGTTTGGTTACCTCTGTATATTTGTAGCACTGCTCAGCAGTGCATTCTGCTTTGCTGGTAGGATTGCTGAGAGCAAAAATGATAGGACGCTCGTTTAAAGCAGCCATATCCTGAAGAATTTGTTTAGTAAAAGCACCACCAATTGCAGCAACTCCTAAAGAAGAAAAACACACACGTAACAAGCAGACAAATGCAATCAGTTCAAGGTAAAAGATGCGTGTCACTTTTAAAAGAACAGAGCTCCTTTTACTGCACACCTCCCTCTTGAAAATGGAGTTCAACCTTTTTCCTAACATGTGGTTAAAATAAAATTTTGTATAAAAGATTTTGCAACAGTGAAACTTCCATATTATCCCTAACATAAGGCAGAACCTATTCACCCTGTACAGCTTGGTGAATTTCTCACTTCAGTTTTCTCAGGCCTGTTGTATACAATAGAAATGTATCACCTAACCTGCAGGTAAGTCCAATAAGGAGTAGAAAGGTACAACTCTGTCTCCTGAAGTCTCATGCAACAGACTGGATAGTTTCTCCCAAATCCAGTGTGTCAGATGATGAGTAAAGTCTCTGCCTTCTACAGCTGATCATTCTGTCATCTCCAGCCTCAGCGGATGAATAATCCCAATTTTGAATCTACAGCTTCCCTGACAGCAACAATTTTTTTGAAGACATCCCTTTCCATCCTGTCAGAGATGCTTTTCTCTTCTCCGTACTGTACTCACAAGCAAAAAGGGGTGTGTGATGGTTTTGAGATGCCAATGCACCTATATTTCTGCCTAACCTACAAGAGTTGGGAATCGAAGGATCAGTTCCTTGCTCTCCATGCCTCCAGTGAAAAACAACTAAACAGACCTTGGAGTAAACCTAGGGATCTTTATGTTCAGGAAGCCTTCTATCACTTGGCTCGTAGAGAAGGTAGCCTCCTCCTTGCGCAGAGCCCCCGGTGCCTGGCTCCCTGCTCTGCTCTCCACACAGCATCTGAGTTTCAACAGCAGGAAAAAAGCTGTTCCCATTCTTGGGGGAGTAGGAATGCTTTCAAACCTGGGCCAGGAGAGGGTCTCTCTTGGGTCAGTGCTCTAACTTCTCATCACTCATGCACAAATGAGCATCCCACCGTTGCCCACTCTAAAAGGACAGCTTGGTGTCTGCCCGAGGAGAGCACAAGGTACTTGGAGGGAGGTGAAGGGGGTCCTCACCTCGCAGAGCTGGCTAGAAGGTCATACACACTCCAGGACTAACATTTCTTAAAGGTATCTCAGAGTATTTTCTGACTGCTTCTACATGAAGCATGGTATCAGCTTAGAGAGACATCTTCGAGCACAGCCTATGCCCTCAATAGGGAGAGGTGCATGCCCCCCTGAAATTCCCTAATTGTTTTAAATTGAGCTTTCTCGAGACATCTACTGAAACCCCAAGCACCCTATGACAGGCTCTTTAGGTGCTGTTTAGGTGTTTTATGTGGACCCTAAAATGTTTAAGACCCATTTGGTTTTGTGTCTGGCCAAATCTCCTTTATTCTGATCCCTTGGTAACAAAAGAGGCAACTCCTCAATCAAGGCAAATCGGTGACTTCTCTTCTAGTTTGAACACCTCTCGCTCAAACATTTCTATCACATACTACTATTTTTTGTAAATCTGAGCTCTCTGCACTTCACCTTCTATGAATGGACTAAGACACTTAGATGCAAAAGCTCTGCTAGACCAGCTGGGCCACTGTACGTTTGATGAACAGTTGTGGCAGTCACGATTTTGACCCACTTGTATAAGAGCCTGTTATACACCTTAGTTTCTGGTTAAGTCTGCAGTTGCCAAATGTTTTATGTCTTCTAAAACTGCTTCTGGACAGTCAATAGCAAGAATGACAACTATCTGCATATATAAAGTTAAAACAAAATGCTCTGAACAATCTCACTGACTATTTCTTTTTAGGTTTAAAATTGCAATTTCTTATATTTGGTTAAGCTAAACTAAGGCTTTTCCTGGAGCCATCGCAGATGACAAAATGTATATGAGCATTCACTGAGGCAGAGTTAAGTAAAACATTGGGAGGAGTATCAACTTATTTCTCCATGACTCCTGCTGCCCGGAGGAAGACACTGAATGCTTAGTCCTCCAAACTGAAAAAACCCCAAGAATTGACTTTCATTGCTGTTTCTGTTGGAAGAGTCTTCATTATGCAGTACAGATAGGAGAAAGTGACCTTGAGGGAAAGCGCAGTATAGATTTATATATCCGACAGCAAACATTCCCTAAGCATCTACACACCTTTATCTAGATAAATATCACAGGTCATTCAATCTCTTCTTCTGCTCCACTAGCTTTTTCAGCCTTGCATTCTACTAAATACATTCTCTAGACTGCTTGGTCTCTGTCTTGCAGTCATCCCTCTATGGAGCATAGAAAAAGATAAGCTTTATTTACCTCATTCATGATCACTGTCAAAAGCAGATTTTACTGAACAAAGACCATGAGGTCTAGGCTCAGTCGAAAACATAGCTCTTCAAATGTAAGATAATTTTCACTGCGGCATTTCAGATTTTCTAGCATCTGATGAATGATTGCACTAGCCAGATAGATGAATTTTTCAAGTCTTACATATTAAAAATAAATATTTAAGAGTACTTGCAGTTCATTCCTGAAACTGTCACTGAAATACAATAACCAAACTGCAGAGAGCCAAACAATCCTTTACTGAGATCCCAAATCCTGCAGCTTTTATAAATAAAAAGTCTTTGTAAAATCTGTGGTTTGGTCTGCACAACAGAATGGTGGCTAAGGATCTAAATATGAGGGGAAAGAAGATTCAGCTACAGCATGCTCATATTTGCACAGCTTTACATGTGCTTAGCTCAGTTTTCTCAGTATAAATTTGAGGTTATTTGTATTGCACCATCCACATTAAATCAGAAGTCATTTAGGAAGGTGATAAGGTTTTCCCTCAGATGTTTAAACCAACTTGGATTATTCCCCTGTAAAATGGATGGCTTGGAGTGAAAGCAGTGTTACATGCTTGGATAGCTACTATTTGTTCAGTTGCTTAATAGAGCCCATTATGCACCTAGTGTTTTCTAAAAACACACAAAGGTAAACTCTGTTCAGAGGAACTTGATCTTGTCTTCAGACAAAGCCACATCCCCATTTTTTTCCCACAAAGAATAAGGTCATTGCTTTAAAGTAAAAGAAATTACCTATTAGCACGGATGGTTTTATATCTTTAACAATATCTTCTAGATTTTTCATTTCGCCATGTTCATGGGCAAAACGTTGTTTCTCAGATGTTAATGAGGCACGCCCCTGAGGAAGGAAAAAAAGAAAAAGATATTTATTATAAATTTAATGGAACCTAATATCCTGGGATAATCAGTTTACAAAGTATCTGGTTTAACGTGTCCTATTCTCATTTCTAGTTTTGCGTCAATCACCGAATACCATATTAGACAAAGTTACACTGTGTACAGCTAACACACTTAGGATAATTTAGGACTAATCTATTTCTCTAAGCAGTAGGTAAATTAAATTCGGTATGTTTACTTTAAATTCCTAACAGCTGTAGAACACCACTGTCTTAACAATTATATGAAAGCACCATTAATTTCCTCTTTGAAGCACTCTTAAAGCTGTTTTGCTTGTTAACAATTGGTCAAACACTTAAAGTTACTAATGATAAAACATAAATATATTTATATATCAGACAGTGCGGATGCGCCAGGGCAGGGGAGATTCGTAACTTAGCACAACAAAAATAGTTTCTCCCAGCTTTTTCAGTTTTACTCTTGTCTAAAAGTATAAGGACTATATGGGGGAGTATATAGACTATAGCAGAGCTTATATTTTGCTCCACATTTTTCACATTTAAGTCATTCAATCTTAAGGATGGAATAAAAATAATTCTAACCAGATGTCTGGTGCACCATTTTTGCATTAACAAAATTGACTCAGCTGTGAAACAACTTTCACCCTGATCTATACCAGCAATTTCCACCCATCGATGCCCAACAAGGTTTCCAAATGGAATATGACAGATGCAGGAAAAAGGGCGATAGAGAATCACTGAGGCTGACTGAGCTGCAAACAGGATTTGAGCTCGGTGTAAGCAACGTGGAGTGCAAGGCAAGAAGGGGCCAGAAAATTATATTAGTTGTCTAAATACGTGGGCCTCTGTCTGTAGACAGACATCTGAAAATTCCAGCAGAAGAGTTTAAAGTGCATAAACCTCCACCCCTTGTTTTACTCTTGTGCCTGCAGAAAACATGACTGCAAAGGCACTTTTCAAACACAAACCTAGAAGGCAGTGCCAGCCCCACAAACGCCTGACAATTTCAGACGGCATGAAGATGTAGATGATACAGGTATGTATGGAGGAAAATGGAAAGCTAAATGTTATTTTAACCAAATAGCCAGAACAGATATATATCATGTCCTCAGCCACATCTTTTCCAACTGATAAGATGAAAGTTTCCTTAATCTTAGCAAGTTAATTAAGACTATACTGAAGCATTGGAACAAAATTCATTCCACGATTCCGCCAAAGTCTACAATTTGATGACTCTGACTCAATTTAGGACTGTGTATATTATTGGATTCAAGCCAGGATTAGTTTTCTAATGACATTTTTGCTTAATTTTAACAAGAACGAGAAATTTGGCATTACATTTCAGACAACAATTCCGCAATGCGGCAACGCGTGGCTGTGCCAGTCCCACCACCGAAGCTCCTCTGCGGATCCTCAGACGGCCACCGCAAGAGCTGGTAGACAGGCGGGAAGGCCATTTTTCATTTCCAGCTGCAAGAAAAGTGTTTCCATCCCAAGGGTACCACAGGAAGCCGTGGAAGGCTGTTATGTGGTTGGGGCTGACTGAGCTGGTCTGCCTCACGAGATGCCAGCTTCTCTTGGCTCACTCATGATTACAAGGAATTTCCAGAGATTTCTCCTCTTCTACAGAATTTTTTTTTTTTTGGCGTGACCAAAATACAGAACTTTTAAATGAAGAGGGTTATGTCTGTGTATGCTTTTATGGTTCTTAAGGGTTCTCCGGGAGCAATTAGCATGGAAACACCGTGATATGGACACCTAGTTTCCTTTGCGGGTAAAATGTGAAATTCTCAGCCTTGAAAGAATGATGCAATATGAACAATTTTTTGCATATTCACGCTCAAATCCATCAATAAACATTTTGAAGTCTGCCATTTCCCAGCACCCCAGCAGATGTCCCCACAGTCCACACACACAGTTGAGAGGCATCTCATTTGAAAGCAAGAATTTTCCTTAACATTTTCAGGGAAAAAATATGATGTTTTCTTTTTTTAGTCACATTTATGACTTCCAGGCCAAAGGCTTGTTGCTAGGAATAACTCAAAATACTATAATAAAAGCTTCTTTTGATTATAATAGGCTGGTTGATTGAAATCAAAATGCTTGACGGAGCCCAACTCGGAGGCAGGTTTCCTGGGGAGCTGGGAATGGGTGCCATGGGCCACCATTCAATCCCACGCTGCTTCTTCAGTTGGTTCCTTAACAGCTTATCAGGCTGCTATTGAGGAAGCCAGTTTTCAATCTGGTCTTAAAATCCAGCCTCCAGAAGACTGTCCTGGGCTACCAAGAAAAAAAGAAATCACCTCTAAGAGCTATGACCAGCTCACTCTTCAGGCTGTGGCAGGCTGGTTGCTCTGAGCATCTCCAGGATCTGCAGATCTGGGCAGATCTCTGGGGAAAGGTGACCTCTGATTTTTTCCGCAGCTAAGAGGTCAGGCTGACATCTTAGTGGACACAAATGTTGATATTCTTTTAATTTAATTTTTAATCAAAATAAATAACCAAAATCCTGCATGAAAAAAGAGTTACTTCCTTATACAGTTTTACACTTGGATTGGCTTTCGAGGAGGTCCTTCAACATTTTAAAATTAAGATAATGGCACAGCTGTTAAAACACTTATTGATGCAACACCAAGGCTTCAAAGGTCCATTTCCTACGGACATTGACGATCATCTCTCATTTAATTAGCTACAAAGGAGTACTCAAACAGTAAGCTGGACGTGATCCTCCACAACCCTTTCCCGGTCACTGGCTAGTGAGACTAGTGCTAGCCGATGGGTCAGCTTAGGTCAGATTCACTTCTGCCCTACCTTAATTTCTATCTGCCCTTAATTTCATACAGACATTCTACCATTCTAAAAAAAACCAAAAAAAACCCAACAAACAAACCCAAACCACCAAAACCAAACTCTAAACAATTTTATTTCTTTATTTAGCTTTGGTCTGAGTTAGTTTGATCCTATTAGTCAGAATGAATCATGTTTCCAAGTAAATATTTTGCTAGTATATTAACTAAGAATGAAATATTAAATTATGTAGCTTAGCAAAAATAACAACAGCTCTGTACATAGAGGTTTTTGCTTTGAAAATGCTTGTAAAATAGATTCTATGGTTAGGGCTTTTTTAAATATATATTTTTAAATAGATTGTCAGAAACGTATTTTAATTGTTAGTTCAGTGATCCTAAAGGAGCTACATAACTCCCTAAAAACTGTGTCTGAGATTTCAAGACCAGCCAGTTGATTTGGTTACAAAACTCCAATAATTTAGAGGACAGTGCTTGAGAGAGTATTTTTTCTCCGGAAACTAGCAAATTCTTAGTTCTGCTCTCCACAAAGTAGAAAGGCGGCACCAAGAGCACGGCTAGCTTTCCTCCGTACCCTGCCAACATGGCAAGCGATGGCTTGCAGGAAGGAAGAAACAATTCAGTTTTGTGCATGCTTAACCTCAAACGAAGGGGTTGCCAGTCCCTTCAGCACAAGCTTCCAGACATCCGCCCCTGAATGCCCAGAGCCAGAATGAGAATTCAGAGTCTTTGTCAGGCAGCAGAGAGAAGAGGATGGAGCCAAAATGCAGAAGTCTCAATTCTGGTTTTGTGTGGGTTTCTGTCTTGTCTTCCTCCTGACGCTGGAGAGATGCAAAGCGGACAGAGCTACCAGAAGCACAGAGCCCATCTTCTGCCATTTCCATTTCCAGCCCTGGCTTAGCCAGCTTTTGTACTCTGGCTATCTGCTGCTAGGAAGTGAGCTGTAGAGGACTGTTGCAAAGCAGCATAAATCAGAAACTGCTCTGGTCTGCTTGCATCTCCAGAATCCTAAGATACGGCACACAGCTCACTGATATTTCTCTTCTTATAATAGCAAAAGGCAAAATTTTACTAAGAAAGAATTTGAATGAGCCCTGGGATTCCGTGTATGAAACTCTCAGTCTTTGAAGTAGAAATATAATTTTCAGTCACATTCATATTTGTCTTCTAAGTCCACTGTCTCTTTTAGCATTATTGAAAATTCATTCGTTCAATGAAAAAGGCTTAGAAAAACAATGATCTAAAGACGTGCCCCCTTCAGTACACCAACCCTCAGTACAGTCTCACTGTTTCACTGAAGGACATCAGTGCTTGCCACACACGGGAGAATTTTTCCAGGGGTTCCTATCAAAGGATGTTATTGCACTGTTGTTCAAACAGCAGTATGAAGGCTCATTTAAGCCAGGCAGCAGCTGTCTTAAGTTGTCTTAATATGTTTTCTGTGATGGTATAACAAGCATCTTTCCTGCATCATATGACACTCCCTAAATCCAGAAAGAAAGTCTTTCACACAGAAATCCACAGATGAACTAACAAATACGACATGATACTTATGCAGCTATTCAGAGGGGAAGAGACAAACTCAAACTCTTTCAATAGAAAGGTAAAGTTAGGAAAAGAGGCTATATATCCTTTTTGCTTTAACTTCCCAAATGTATTCAGCATCCCAAGAAAGAAATTTTAAAAAACCACCAACATTTCATAGTATAACTTTTTTTTGCAATGTTATGTATTCTTATATTACTTCCTTATCTTTTATAGAATAAGTATTTTGCTAGGAGCATTATAATAAGTTTGCTTGAATGGAGAAAATAGCCCAACAAACTGTATACTAAAGTATCAGGAAGACAACCACAGCATCTTTAATGCATACTCAGGCTGCCTGGATATACTATACAATATACCTTCACAAGAATGCTGAAGGTGAAGAATATGACAAACACTCAAAAAGATTAATAAACCTTAAATCCAAAGGCTCAGCAAAAATGTCAGAAATTACTTTGGAAGAGAGAAGCATTGCCTCTATCACAGTATCATTTCATACCAAGAAACCTATGGGATATTTTGGATTTGAACAAAAGAGAACAAAGTAACCTGAAAACAGATATGTTGCTATATTAGAAACCACCGTGGTATCTCAGATGGAAAGTAATATGAGCTAAATTCTTTATTAG